AGACTCTGGTGAGGGTCCAGGCCACAGTGGGTCCTAAAAAAAAGCTCTGTCAGCAGAGCCTTAGACAGTTTCTAGGCCACAGTCAGAGGATTCTTCCATTCTGTCCCACTAGGGGATGGAGGAAGGAAACACACCTGACCTTAACCTTTGCTCCTTCTTCCATTCAGAACACTAGTGCTGAAAGTCTTGCTGTTATCTAATCCAACCCACCCATTTGCCTATGATAATCCTGAGGCTGGAGAGGGGAAGTGACTTGACTGGGTCAAAGCAGAGGGAGAACAGGTCACTTCAAGGCCTGGACCCAAGGCTCTTCCTGCAGGCTTTATGCCACACCACATTATCTGAGCCTTCCTTTGGCTCAAATTAGAGGGATCTGGGCGATAACCTTGGGGCTGAGATGAGCAGGGATGGGACTCCAATTCCATTCAAAGCCAATTCCAAATAAACCATCTTTCTCCAAACCAGAACCAACCCTCCCTAAGAAGTTCAGGGCAGTTCCAAGAAAAATCTTGGGAATTGAATCTACCTCATGTAGAGTTGAAGAGTCAATTGAATCCCAATCTGCCCTCTTTTCCAAACACGTATCCTTAAAACCTTGGCTCCTCCATCTGGGCAATGACCTTGAGCTTTATCAGACCTATTCTCCTAGCCTTTACTCCTTCCTTAGCATTTCCTGAGTACCCACTAGGTATCACGCTCTGTGCTAAGTTTGGTGAATCAGAGATGCCTAAAGATACATGCCTGTCCCTGGAGAACTCAGCCAACCAAGAAGGATACAGATGATTAATAACCATGAAGCCATGGGAAGAGTTCCCTCACCCTCAAACTAGACCTGCTCTTCTAGGGCGAGGTCTTGCCAGACCAGATCTCAGGGGTGAAAGCAAGGGGAGACCAAGTTCTTCTGGGGGCTGCCATCCCACCCACTGGGAGCATTCTTGCCAGGAAGACAGACACCTGACCCCTCTACCTCCAGCATTGTGCAGCTAGTAGAAACTCATTCATGCTTGGTGGTGGGAGCAGTGTGTCGATGAGTGGCATCACAAATATTTATCATCAAGCATCTAGCATGTGTGAAATGTAGGAGTAAAAAAGAAAGGGGGAAACAAAAAAAAAATTTGACTGCCACTTTCTGCTATCCCAAAGCTAAAAATCTGGTTATAAGCCATAAACACTGGAGGAATGTGAAAAGAGCATGGGTTTAGGAGTTTGGACCCCTAGGTCTTCGTCCCCCCTGTGTAACCTTGGGCAGGACATCACCCCTCTGTGCATCACTTTGCACATCTCTAAGTGGGGGACAGGTCCAGAGCAGGCCTTGGAATTGCAGGATTGGTGCTGACGACTGTGTGCTTGGTTTGTTTTTCCCTTAAATGTTGGGCCTTTTTTTCTTTTAGGTGATTTAAGATTTGAGCTAGGTTTGTGGGAAGGAGGATGAAGCCAGGATCAGGTGGGAAGCTGGACAGTAGGAGAAGCCAGAGGACAATGATGTGTTACAGGATGAAGGGCGATGGGAGAGAGATGAAGAAGAGATGCAAGAGGCGGCTATGGGAAGAGCCACTCTCCACGGGAGTCAGAAACAAGGACCGGGCCGGCCCTGTGGCTTGGTGGTTAAGTGCGCGCGCTGCGATGCTGGTGGCCCGGGTTCGGATCCCGGGTGCGCATTGAGGCACCACTTCTCCGTTCATCCTGAGGCCGAGTCCCACATACAGCAACTAGAAGGATGTGCAGCTACGACACACAACTATCCACTGGGGCTTTGGGGGGAAAAATAAAATAAATAAAATCTTTAAAAAAAAAAAAAAAAAAAAAAAGAAACAAGGACCTTTGCTGGTGCCACTGAACAGCCCTAGAGAGGGGAAGGAATGAGTGCCAAGCTCCAGGGCCACCTAGCTATTTAAACCATCAAAATGGTGATTAGTCAAGGCTGTTCAGATTGGGTCACTTTGGAGCTGGTGGTGGGGTTTTGTCCCAGGCACACTGTGACCTGTGAACATGGAAGAGCCAGCAGGAGTAGGAAAGGCCACAGCTGACAGTAAAGCCAGATCCAGATATGGCTGCGTGCAGAAAAACCAGGTGGGCCGAGAGTACAGAGCGCCCTGGCCCCAGTGGACTCCTGCCCACCTGGAACCCTGATAAGTTTCCCACGAGTCAGACATGGCTCCTAGCCCCAGCTGTCTGCGCACATTTCTAGCTCTGTCATGCATCGCTTACCAGCAGATGCTAGGGCTACTGATGCAGTAGGAAACCAAGGAAAGAGTTCTGCTTATCAAATTACTAAATCCTGTTAGAAACGAGAGCAACTTGCTCCTAGTAGATAGTTTCTCATGATCCTTGGTGACTCCTGTGAGGTTTTTAATCTCCAGCGTGGTGCCAGGGGTGGATTCCACCAGCCAGTTCTCTCTTCTTTTACCAGCAGAACCCTTAAAAGCAGCTCTGTCCCTGGGAGGGAATGTGCTTTCAGTGTATAACAGAGCCTTTCTAATTTATTTAAAATCTTCTGTTCCACTGATGGTGGGGCAGTGACAGGGAGGTTTTCTTTAGGGAAGAGCATGCGGGTGTGTGAAGAGCGGGTGTTCTTCTCTGAAACTATAATAGTTGAGAGGGTGTGTGATACTATTGTTTATTTTATACCATCCTACTACTCCCTCCTTTCCCCTCAACACCCACAGCAAATTGTACAAACGAACATGCGACGTTTGTGCCGAGACAAGTTGACAAACGCCTCCTCCCTGGACTCACGCTGCCATCTCTGCACCCATCTCTCTTGCCGCCGGAAGTCAGCCGTTTTTCACACAGTCAATGCTGCATTGTTGGACACGGAGGATTAGGCTGGTGAGGAATGTGGAAAGTGTCTCACTGCACTGAAAGTACCATCAGGTTACGTAAAGGGGAAACATGAGCCTCACCTTGCAAGAAGGAAAAGCTAACCTTGATGCATAAACCAGACCTCTGGTGCTTTCTGGAGCATGTATTCCATCTAACTACTTAGTTTGGCTTTTGTCACACCACTCTCTTCCCTCTGAGTGTCAGGAGCAAATTTGTTTTTGGTTTTTTTTTTTTTTCCTTCAAAACATCTCTTCTTACGCTAGTGATATCATCCCTAGAAGACTGAGATGTAAGAAGAGGTGAATCATGTATCACCTTCGCATCTCTTCTAGAATTACATCAGCCAGAGCCCTGGGGTACAGTGGGGATAAAGTCAAAAAGTGAAAGGAAGGGGAGGGCACCAGGAGGAAGGGAGGAGGTGAGGTGGGTTTTATGTGGTTTGCTTTTTTTCTTCTTCCTCTTTCCTCAACCCCTAAACCCCCCTTACCTATTTATAAATCAGATAACAGGAAAAATCAGACTTTGAAGAGACAAGTTGCCTTATGCTTATTGATGGTGTTGTTAGATGGCTTTTGTCTGAACTTTCTGACAAATCACCGTAGCCCCATCAGTCCCAGATGGAAGCCAACCTTGGCCTTTGGATAAGAATGAAGACACACAGATGCTGCCCCACCCCCAAGTATTAGCCATTTGATCTTCACCCTGTTTAATGTTCTCATCAGTTTCAAACAGCAGAGAATCTTGGCAATGTGTGGAAATAATTTGAAATGTGAAATCTAGTCATGCAAGCTAGTGATGGTCCACACAGCTGTCGGCCAGTCAGGTGAGAACCCTGTGGAAGGCATGTCATGTGGGTGCCTGGGTGGGGTGGGATTTGACTTTCCTGACCTCTCTCTACCCGGGGATTTTAAAATATCATCAATCATGGGTGGCTGAGGCATTCAGGGAGAGGGATGGGGACTCTCAACCAAACCAAAATATGATAGACTCAAGGCCTGGACTTGGTCCATGCCTTTAAGTGACTCTGAATATTTTTAATTATTTCCCACTCATCCTTTTCTTTTCTAAAGATAGTCTTATGCCTGAACAACTCCTGTTCATTAGGAAGAAAATCTTTCACCCTCCCTTCTTCTATGGTTCCAGTGAATTCCAGACTCCTTAGGATCTCTGGGTCTAGCTGCTCAGAGCATATTTATGATGAAAACAAAGCAAAGTGGCCTCAGGACACCAGGGAAGTCCAGGAGTACGATCCATTTCTGCACCACAGGAAAAAGGGCCCAAAAGGGCAAAGGGAAAAAATAATTTGCAAAAGGCATAGCTTTGGCAGCATCTTATTACAACGTCCAGCTGATCGGGTGTAGCCGAACTAGAGACATCTGTTTGGAGTTTACAACAGAAACACACATACAGAAAGCATGAAAACCCTAAGACACACACACACACACACACACGCACACGCACACACACACACACCAAGCTCTATACCATGCCCCAAAAACAGAAACACACATACAGAAAGCATGAAAACCCTAAGACACACACACATACACACACCAAGCTCTACACCATGCCCCCACTGGGTCAGGCTGGGTTGTAGGAGGGAAGGATCTTCCACCTGCCTCCCCACCCACCCACCTGCACCGTGACTCATTCATGCCAGGACTGGAATGTATCAACTCTCCTCTCTCCTTGATTTTTCTCCCAGGAAAAGAGATGGTTCCACTCCTCAGAGAGCCCCAGGGGTGACTTTCTTTAGGTCTCTATTTCTCCTTTAAAGCTCCTTGAGCTGTTTGTAAAGGTACAGGCGAACCACAGAAGGAGGTGGTAAAACCTCATTAGAACTTGCAAGTCCCTCCTCCCTAAATAACCTGTCTGGGAGTGAGGAACAGAACCCACCCTGCATCTCCAGCAATTACCTGAGAGACCAGAACCAGCCCACATTCCCACAACTTAATGAATGAAGAACATGGATATTCTGGAAGAGGGCTGGCCCCAGCCGCAGCACCCAGAATTGTGAGGACCAAAAAGACCTCAGACCCATAAAGTGGGTTCCCCTTCCCTTAATCACCTCCCAGCACTGCAAAGGCCAAAGACTATCCTAGCACATGGTCCCAGCGATGGACACCCCTCTCCCACCCCCACCACCAAGCATTTTCAGCAGCAGTTCCAGACGCTCACCTGTTCTGTTAAATTTTCCTCTTTATTCTCTCCCCACTGGCGTGCAAACAGAACCAGAGCAGTGCTATTCTTAAAAAATAACAAAATGTTTTATACACGTTTCTGTATATACAACTGAACAACATTTTACACGTCCCTTTTGCACAGCAAAAGATATAAACATTCAGCTCACAGTTATGTACAAAAAAAAATGTCAAAAATACTTCACAACAGTGCAAAAATATTTTACACAGTATCATGGAGTGAGATTTTTTGAGCAGGAGGAAGGTGTGTTTCTAAAGGAAAACTCCTTTTTTAGATATTAGATGTCTTAGCTGTAAACAAAACGCAACTTTCTTCCATACCCCCCCCCAAAAAAACAGTTATTTGAGGAATTTGGCAGAATTTCAAGGGTCTGAGTCTGAGGTAAACAACTCAAGCTCTCGCACCAGAAAGACTGGGGGCAAGGAGGTGGCATTAAAGTCTCCAACACTGAGAGAGCAAATTTTTTTTTTTTTTTGTAAATGACATGTCAATGACAGTGCTAGGCCGCTCCCAGTTAGGAGGTGGGGGAGGGAGTTAACCCCGCCTCCTCAGCCCCCAGATGCCCCACAAACAGGAAACTGGCCGGCAGGCACCTCACGCCTTTCGAGACTTGGCTAACTTCACCGGGCCCTTCCCCCACCCCCACCCCAGCTGACTGCCTCGCTCTCCTTCCTGGCAGGGTTTGCCCCCTCGTACATCTCCCCACATCTCCATGCGCAACCTAAGCCCGCTTCACACAGAGCCAACTGTGTTGAGGGAGAGGGGCAGGGGCAACTCTGGGGCCTCAAGTGTCCCATTTCCCCTTTCCTGGGGGCAGGCGGGGGGGGGGGAGTAAGGAGGTTTTCGAGATGACTGATGGGAGTCACGGAGGGGCGCCAGGGGCGCGCGCTGGAGGTGGGTGGGAGCTCAGCCCGAGTGGGGCTCATCTGGGCTGGCGCCATCGGCGGGGCCGGACCGGTCCCCGGCGGTGGCAGAGGTGGAGTCCGGGCCCCCGCCTTCGATGGAGCTCTCGCTACCGGTGCTGTCGCCGGACAGCAGGCGCGTCACCCGCAAATCGGCCTGCAGCCTGCGCACATCGTTGCCGAAGCTGAGTTCGCCCAGGTCGTTAATAAGCTGCGACAGCTCGGCCTTCATGTCGGAGGCGCTGCCCAGCAGCAGAGGCGGCGGCCCAGCCCCGGGGCCCAGCGAGACCCCGCCGTCCCCCAGCGCCTCCTCGCGGCCACTCTCCAGCGTGTCCAGCAAGTCCCCGCATTCGAAGTGCATGGCCACCACGAGCGCCCGCTGCGCCTCGGCCTCTTCCTCTGCCGGGTCTCTCTCCCCGGCACGATCCTCCTCCTCCTCCTCCAGGCAGTCCTCGGCGTGCTCGTCTTCCTCTTCCTCCTGCAGCTCCTGCTCCTGCTGTTCGCCGAGCAGGTCCTCGGTGATGGAGCCGAGCTTGGGCGCGCTGCGGCTGCGCTCCACCGGCGGCTTGTAGCAGCAGGGTCCGTGCAGGAGCAGCTTGCGCAGCGGCACTAGCGGAATGGTGTGCGCGCCCACCAGCTCCTGCTGCTGGTGACGCGCGTCGTCCCGCCGCTTGAGCCGTTTAAATTCCGCCAGTGCGTTGGCCGACGTCTGGTAGAGCAGCAGGGCCATGGCCTGCGCCTTCTCAGGCTTAGACACCAGCACCGCGTGGCAGCGCAGCATTACCGCCTTGTGCTTGAGCTCGTGCCGGTACACCCAGGCGAAGACCTTGGGCAGCCGCGCGTCCGCCACGCAGTAGGTAACGCGGTGCAGCAGGTAGAGGTGGCCCGGGCGGCGCAGCGCGCGTTCCTCAGCGTGCACCATGCGGATACCCTGCGCACTCACAGTCAGCTTCATCTTGGTGCCCTGACGACCCGCCTCGCTCTTGCTCCAGATCTTGCCCACCGCTAGGTCGGTGCAGCCGTCGCCGCGCGCCTGGATGGTGGTGGCATTGCCCAGGTAGAGCACGGTGTAAGTAGGGTCCTCGCTGGTGATGTGCAGCTTCTTGCGCTTGGAGCGGAACATGCTGCCCACCCGGCTGAGCGCGCCTTCGGGGCACGCCCGCGCCAGCGAGCTGAGCGCCGAGTAGTGCAGGCTCACCGCGTAGCCCTTGGGTTTGGACGCCTGCCGTGGCGGCGCCTCGGCCAGCAGCTCGAACTTGTGCTTCTTCCACGGCAGCATCTCCGGAGGGCGCCCCCGCGCAGCTGGGCGGCGGCAGCGGAGCGCCGGGTGCGAGCCCCGCTGAGCCACCCGCCCCGGCCGGACTCGGCCCGGGCAAGACCGAAGAATAAAACTCCACTGGGAGTGGCCCAGTGGTAGAGAGTGGGGGCAGGGGGTGGGGGAATATAGCGCTCGGGAACCCCGCCGAAGGGGGCAGGGGTAAAATTTTTAGAAGAGAAGAAAATATTTAGCTGCGAGTGTGGGGAAAAAAAAAAAAGCGCACACAGATATACCCTAGCCTGGGCAAGGACGAGGGCCAAGAGTCTTAGGCAAGCAAAATGAGAGAAAGATTGAACGAGAGTGGAGCGGGAAATGTCTTTAGAAAAGAAGAGATGCGCGTGTGCAAATAAATAGAGGGAGCCCCCCAGCAAAAGCAGCTGGGATGGTGCGAGGATATGCAGGAACTCCTCGGCGAACGTGAAAAGGGCCCCCTCTCACTCACACACAATCCTCAAGGCTGGGACCAGAAACCGCGGAAACTCAAGTGCGCCGGGGCCAGTGCTCCCCACCCCAGACGGGTGCTGGAGACAGAGAGCCCCTCGGCTGCGCTGGTCCCAGAATCAGCTCTTGCTCCAAGTGCGGTCAGATGCTGGGCCGGCTGGCCGCGGCGGCCCCGCGCAGCAGTCCCGCTCACTGCATCTTCGCTCCGGCCGGACGCCGGGCACTCGGGCTCGGCCGGGGCAGCGCGGGGCTCCAAGGGCGGGGCGCGCGCATGGTCAGCTCCAGGGACGGTCGCTACCTCATTTCTTTCCTCTGGGGGGTGTCCGCCTCCGCTCTCGGGATCCCCTCGGTCGGTTACCCGCCTTTGCAGCGCGCCCCCTCCGGTGCTGCGAGCAGTTGCCAGCTCGCCAGCCTCACATCCTTGCGGTCTGGGAGGAAGATCTCGGGTAAATATAGGCCGGCGCGAACCATTCGCCGCGCGGGGACAGGGGAGGAGCAGAGAAGAGGATCCGTTTCGGGCTTGTACGCCCGGCAGGTTCCTGGTTTCTTAAAGGGACCTGATTGCAGCCGTTGATCGAGGGAAAGGGGAGACCGATCCAAACCAGCAATTACATCCCAAATTTGTCAGCATCTCTTTTATCTACAGATATCGCCAAGGCCTGGGGTTACCCCTCAGGAAAAGCAGCTTGACTTCTGACGCTCCGCCCTCAGGCAGAATTGCAACTCACTGAATTGATGTAAGTCTCCGTCGAAACTTCTGGGGGAGGAGGTGGAAGGTGGGATTTAGACTCTAATTTCCTATGCAGAAAGGTTGGGGAAATAGTGGTTCTTTCCTTGTGTGACAGTTCTCTGAGAATGACTGGGTGCTGTTAATATCTTTTTTTTCGAATTTTATTCTATTAAAGAAAATAGGGGCAAAGAAAACACCGACTTATTTTTCACTGTCTTGGACCCCTTTCTCCACAGGTCAGCAGCAGATAATGAGAAATGAGATTAGTGGTAACAAGAAGATTGGAGTGAACAATATAGGGTATAGTGGATAAATAAAATGCTTCCCACTCCGAACCCCCAGTAGTGCCCCCTCCTGCTGTCAGGCCTCAGAGGAGAGCAGTTTTCTGAGATATACACGGGTTCTAAGAAATGCTTGTGTGTGGTTAGAACTCAGTTTACTTTGGCAGGCCAGTCATTCTGTTTTATTACATCATTGACACATTTTGCATGAGAATTCCTAGTAAAAATTCAAATGACATTTTTTATTTGAGTGTCAAATAATGCCCAGCCACTCTCCACTGAGAATGACAATCGTATTAATCATGCTTTTCTCGTATGCCAACTAGACAATGTAGGTTTAGTCATTTGACCAGCTTGACCCTTGGCTAGTAACTCATTTCCCGGCCCTTGAAACAACCTGCTTGCCTCTATGGTCTGCCCAGTCAAAGCAAAAAAACTTCTAGCTGGACTGTCTGATAAATGTCCAGATGTTGCTGCATCAAACTCCAAGCTTGTCCTGGAGGAGGACGGTGGGCCCCACTCCCACCCCACAGGCCCAGTCCACTGGAGATCTTGTATACCCCTTGGTTCTGTGCCAGGTCCTGATTTCAGAACCACTGTAGCCTTTCCTGGAAATTCTCTGCGCTCTACCTTTGCTAACTTTTAACCTTTCTTTGAACTTTGACCCAGTTTTCTCAGAGTCATTGGTGCTATGTTTCAATTTAACTAACTTTTCTGAGTACTTTTTGGTGCCAGGACCTGAGCCAGGAGCAGACGCAATTCCTGTCTCCAAGACCAGAAAGCTTCTAGACCCATGAAGGATATGAACTCCAGGGCAAGCCCCGTGGCTTGGTGGTTAAGTGCGCGTGCTCCACTGCTGGCGGCCTGGGTTCGGATCCTGGGCGCGCACTGACGCACCGCTTCTCTGGCCACGCTGAGGCCGCGTCCCACGTACAGCAACTAGATGGATGTGCAGCTATGACATACAACTATCTACTGGGACTTTGGGGGGAAAAAA